TATTACTTACCAATTTTTAATTACTGTATGTGACAATACCTCTCATTTATGCTCTATACAATACTAACGTATTGTGGTATAGAATTACATACTACATATATTTATTCATACATAAAAATTGTTTGATCAAATAATGGGTAAATGATCACTACCTTCGATAAACGTGTAGGTCAATAAGATATCGTGATAAGAACGCAGCTACCAAAGACATTAATCCACCAAACCTAAATACCCATCCGTATGCATCATTTTTTCCTATATTATCGATACCGCCTCCCGTATTCGTGAGTTCCTCCACAAGTTTAATTATCGCCGCGCTAATCACCGATATAATAAATTGAGGGAACACAATGTACATGTTATGCACGCCTAAAATCATTCCTGAGTCAAATTCTTCTTGCTCATCAGAATCTTCTGCAAGAGATGGTGACGATGTCGCCGATGATATAGATGCATAGCTTACACTTGTACCAATTTCCCTTTCAACATCATTACCATTGGCTTTGATGCTGTCATACAATTCTTTTCTTTGGACGAATTCGCCAACTAACGCAAATGGTACCCACATTGCCACAGCCCATGGGATACCAATGCTTGCGATGAGTACAATCGATTGTCCCACCGTTTCTACAAAGAAAGTACACATCATAAACAGTGCAAACAACAAGTGGGAGGCAGTATAAATGTTATATACGGTGAATATGTTTTTGCTTGGATAGGTGGTTGGCGTGAGTTGTGGAAGGATTGTTCCAGCAGCAACAGAAGCAAATGAGAACATTAACAAGGCAAACGAGCCATAACGAGTAGAAATTTCAAAGAAATCCTCATCATCAGTTGGATGAGTTCGTGCATAGATCGATGCCAACCAACTCGAGCTAGCATAAATTATAAGGGTGAATTGGGTCGATCAAGAACGTCGCAAATCAAATTACAAGAATGACTAACTCGATACCTGAAAAACAAAAATGGGAACCAACCCATCCATGAAAAAAATTGAACGTTACAGATTCTTTGAATGGGCGTGGGAAGGTAGCGGAAGGCTCGGTAGATATAAATGAATACGTGATACCATGGCCTATAATCAAAATAGAAAAAATAAAAATAAAAAATTTAACGATTGGTGTTAAATAATTAAAATATTCGATTAATAACACTCACTACTTGTGATTATGTAATAATCGCTTCATTAACATGCATACTTTGAATCTTCGGCCACAGGCACATACACGGTTTCTTTCACACTTATAGATGTGACGAACAATGAAATTGAAAATACGATGCATGAAATTATGCACAGTATTTTGACTTGACTATCACCTAGCCAAGAAAATAGCGTTTTTAAATCTAAAAATCCCGTAAAATATCCAATAACATTTCCAACGTGTAGCATTCTACCAGCCCAAGCATTACTGGTTTCTTGTTGGTATAAAGGAGGAATATCAAGGATAAGTGCGCGACATGAAGCCTGAACAGCATTCAAGGAAAAGTCCAAGCAGTAAAATGAAAAAACCGCAACCAGAATTGCCACTTTTCGAACCTGTAAGATAAAAAATCAGCGTAACGCACAACAGACAAAAAAAGACTCGAAAATGATAGTTACCTCATCATCATCACCAAACCCATTCAATAATTTCTTTTTCCCAAGTAAAAATGTGGCCAATTCGATCGAATATGCAATTCCGGCCATTGAAAGGCAGACCAATATTCCACCAATTATTATATAAGGCCTTCTTCGACCCATTCTAGATGTACTTTTGTCACTAAACGCACCAACCAACGGTTGTATAAGAAGCCCCGAAAGTGGACCAGCAAGCCAGACGAGTGAGATAAGCTCGGATGACAAGCCCAAATTCCTCAGATAGGGTGTTCCATAACTGAAATAGTGGTTAACACGTAATATTTTTTAATTGTCAGACAACTGATTGTTGATTTGAATTGAGTTCATTTAATGGCTTTCCGATATTTCAAGTCACACTTGAATATTTGAATTTCTCAAATAGTATTAAAAAAAGGCATTTGCGAACAAAACCACCATTCTTAAAACAATTATGAAATGGTTTTTTTTAAATACAAAAGGTACTCACGATAATTCCACTGTCCCTATATTATATTTTATTTATTTTTACAAGAGACGTCATTAAGAATTATTAAGGTAAAAAAAAGGAAAAGCAGCAAACATTCCTCAAAGTATCTTTTGGAATTAGACACTTCCTCATAATTCTAACTCTTTAATATAATGCTATCTAAAATTTATATTACTCACATGTAAATTGTAAACCTGCCATGCATATAGTCAGCTTGATCATGTCCCATGTGGACAAAGCTTTTTCGTTGGCGCGTACCAGACTGGTAGCTGAGCTTCGATTAGAAGGCTCAGAATTCAAAAGTGGTCGAGTAACGGTCTCCGACTCCATTGAACGCAAAGCAGTAAAGGCAACAGATGTCAATATAAATTCCCTTAACGTAGTTCCTGCTAAACAAGGAATGCATGGATGTTATATAAAAAAGATAAAGGAAAAATAAAAATAAGCTTTGTGTGTGGGGCACCCTTGGGTGCAAGCGTCTATCTAAATCAGAGTGCGTTAATGTGGATCGGGACCCCTAATATGTCATCACGGTACCCACCAGGGCGCCGATTAATTTTACTGCGAATAGATTTCTACACGTGATGTAAAAAGGCGTCGTTTATTATAAAATTACATAAATATATTTAACTAACCGCATAGCTATTACAAAGAATAAATACGGTTCTATCATTATATTAATTATAATTAATTATTTTATTTTTTAACTAGCTTGGATCTTGCCTGATATACTTTATTTAGTTTCCATTTATAAAATTCATTATACCGGTTTGTTGTTATCAATTTATTTATAAGATATTGGTAAAGATTAACATATCAAGGTTTTTTTAGTGTTACTATTGTATAAGTAATAGAAATTGTTAATATATAATCACCTATTAATTAATTTTTTTTTTTTTTTTTTTTTATAGTTGATATCTTTTCTGTTGAAAATTGGTTTTGTTTTTTGTTTTTTTTGGATACAAAGATACTAGTAGCACATAACTTTATTTAAGTAATTTATATTCAATTATATGATTACAAAATTTATTTAAATTAATCTATATCTTTACTTATAACCTTATTCAGTTATACATGTTTATTATTGCTAAAGTGGATTTATATATTTGAGTAGAATCTTTAAAAGATAAAAATATTATATTAACTTATAAACTATTTAATTATTGAAAGTATATATTTTTTAAGATTAATTAAAATATTCAAATAATTTATTCAATATTCTTTATTTAAAATCTTAAAAAAAATATTGTATTTCTGCAACTTTGGATTTTTTTTTTTACTAGATCTTTTTTTTTTTAAGCAAGCATCAGATTAAGATAATTTCAAGCTATAATACTTTTTATACTATAAAGTCTATTATATCAGGAGAATTTATAAACTTTTATAGAAGTTAAATCAAAAGTCTTATTTCATATAATTTTATTTTAAAAGTTTTTTACTTTGCTATTATTAAAATTTATAATAAATTATTATTATTATTATTTTTTTTATTTGTATCTTATAAATAATAATAATTAAAATTTTTAAAATTTTTTCAATATATTAATTTAATATTAATTTAATATAAATTTAAATATAAATATTTAAACATTATAAAATTACTTTTATTTATAACTAATTTATAAATTATTTTATTTTATTTTTAATAATTTTTTTTAATTAAGATCTGTGAGTCTATAGTAGTGGTTAACACTCCATAGATCAAATCACAAGATATTAATTTATCTTAGGTAAAGACAATTAAATAAAACCTATATGATACTTAACACTATAACCTGTTATATGCTATTTCTCATGTGAAGCTGTTTCATATACTAATCCAGTGAATATTAAAATTGTAATCTTCAGAAAAGGTATCATGATATAATAATCATTTGGGTAATATTACGATAATTGCCAAAAGCATGCTTATAATAGTTATCAATATAATAATTAAGAGGCATGTGTTTAATTTCCTTAATTAAAATTTCTTTTATATTTGAATATACAAACTGGACTGTATCCTATTCTAATTGAACCCTAATCTTCTCTTTTTAATAGTGGTTAGAGCCCTAGTCTAGAATATTCCAATCCAATATAGAATCTAATTGATTTGAAAAATAACTAGCTGCAAGTAATAAAAAGAATTATAGTCTCATAAAAGAAATCATAAATTAGTGGAGATGTAATTTGAAGTCTGGATAATAAGGTGAAGAGGTATTTGGACTAACCTCTTTAATTAAGTTATCTCTGAATAAAGCTAAATCATATAGATTAGATAATTTAAACTAGAGATAGAATTTCTATATCCTATAGGTTCCCACCTAGTGTCATATAATAAATCTTTAAAGGTGATAGGTTTCTGGATACTGAATATAAAGTGGAGTATGAGAAATAATTTGCATAAAATATATAATATATTGACTTATATGAGCCCTAATACTGTAATTATAATTGGTATAAGGTATTTATTAATAAAAAACTTTGTAAATATCACATTTCATCTTAAAAAAAATTTTTTTTTCTTTAATTAAAAATTTTATATTATATATTAATTTTTTTTTTTTTTTTTTTTTTTTTTTTTTTAACCCGCAATTAGACTGGTGTCGTATATTTATTAAATCATAGAGAACCATTACACACACGAGAATACATGCAAAGTACAAATTTCCTCGACCCAGCTCACCC